TTACCAAACACTACACACTTTTTCCCACACACGCACACTCATACACTTTAGAAACATAAACTCTCAAATATACATGATTGCGACTGTAAACAATACACATGATAAAATCCTACAAAAACTTGCTCCCAAAACTCAATCCACACTAGTATACATATGTCTTCATGAGATGTATAGGACAAAGGAAACGACCGTTTAGTAGCGAGGCTAGTTTATTACTGTCGTGCTGCGCACCCGCAATACATATCATTCCTCTACACTTAATTTTGATACCTGTTAACAAAGTAGATTTACAGTGATCAGTTAATACTTAAATTTCTATTAAATATATAATACATAAAGTTTTAAATAAAACAATATTTAAGATACTTATGACTTAACAGATGTACAACCTTTAATAAATTAAATTATACCACACCACACCACAACAACAACTAGATTTAATAACACAATGAATCATTTAAAATACTTCTTATAATCTATCCCCTTCCGGGGGCGCAGTTGACGAGCGGGTGTCGGTGCCTGCGCTGGTGGTACGTCATTGGAGCGGACAGAATCGCTCTGAGGCTGTTCGACTCCGTTTTCGGAAGCTTCAGGCGAATCTGACGCTTCCGGAATCTCTGTTGAATCTCTCACGCTGTCCTGTGCCGAATAATCGCCCCATTCTTCCCCATTAACATCGTCTATTGCGTCAGTATTAACGGGTTGCTCTACTATGGTCGATGACCGAGGATTGCCTACAAAAGGTTCGGATAAAGGAGCATTCACGGGCATAGACGGTGACAAGGGTAACGACTGAAAATTGCGACTCTCAACATTATCAGTGTTATTAATTTTTAATGAATTATCGTTGCCCGTAAATTTTAACAGCTGATCTATATGTCTAATGCATGTTGCTTCAAATTTTATAATAAATATTTTGTACATTTTACTACCGACCTTCTCTTTAATTGTACCTAACTCCCAAGTTTCTTTCCGGGCACTGTACCACCGAGCCCAAACAGTATCACCTATTTCAAAAAATCTCCTACTGGTTACTAAAGGCATATTTAATTGTGTTTTTTCTATGGGTATAATTAGGTCGAGACGAGATCGTAGATTTCTACCAAACATTAATTTAGCCGGCGTTTCGCCGGTTGTACAGTGTACCGTGTTCCTGTAGTTAAATAAATATCCCCATAATACTTCATTAATTTGGTGCTGTGGTAGGTTATCTTTTAAAATACATTTTAGCATTTTTTTACAAGTCCTAACCGAATTCTCCGCTTGTCCATTACTTGGTGGATGATATATGGGGGAAGTTAAGTACTTAATACCATTGTTAGAGCAGAAGGTCTTAAATTCATTAGAGTTTATTTTAACATCGTTATCAGAAACTAAAACATTAGGTATACCGAAAGTAGAGAAAATATTTTTTAATTTTGTAATAAGCGATTGTGACGACGTTCCACTGTTCATGAATATACATTCCAGCCATTTACTAAACGAATCAACTACCACGAGGTATACCCTTTGCCCCACGGTCATGTAGTCGATATGTACGCGCTGCCATGCGCCGGCGGCGGCGGGCCACGGCGCCGGCGGATCGCGCGGCGGGGCGCAGCGTAAGCTCACGCATGTTTTGCAGGACCCGATCCAACGTTCAATGTCGCGGTCGATTTTTTTTTTTTTTTTTTTATAGGAGAGGGGGCAAACGAGCATGCGGCTCACCTGATGGTAAGTGACTACCGCCGCCCATGAACAACCGCAACACCAGGGGAATTGCAGATGCGTTGCCGGCCTTTTAAAAAGGAGTAGGCTCTTTTCTTGAAGGTCCCTAAGTCGTATCGGTCCGGAAAAATCCCTGGTGGTAAACTATTCCACAAGGAAGTTGTGCGAGGAAGAAAACATCTTCTAAATCGCACAGTGGTGGACCGCCAATCATCCAGATGGTGTGGATGGTATCGGGAGTTCTGCCGCGATGTGCGTTCGTGAAATTTGGCGGCTGGGATTAATCCGAACAATTCCTCAGAGCACTCCCCATGGTAGATGCGAAAGAAAATGCAAAGAGATGCAACATCTCTTCGCAGTGCCAATGAATCGAGCCGATCGGAAAGGGCTCGGTCGTCGACGATTCGAGCCGCTCTGCGCTGGATGCGGTCAAGTGGAAGGAGCTGGCACTGGGGAGCCCCTGCCCAGAGATGGGAACAGTATTCCATGTGAGGCCGAACCTGCGCCTTGTAAAGTTGCAGGCGGTGTGCCGACATGAAATACTGTCCCGCTCTGCTGAGCACGCCAAGCTTTTTAGAGGCCAATTTGGCCTTCTCTTCCAAGTGACCACGAAACTGCACGTCACTCGATATGTCGACTCCGAGGATACCGATACTGGCTGAGGCAAGAAGGGGAGTGCCTTGAAACTGAGGAGATACGACAAAGGGGTTCTTTTTAGCGGTAAACGCGCAAACTTGTGTCTTCTGAGGATTAAACTGGACTAGATTTAGTCGCCCCCAATCCGAGACTTTGTCCAGCAAAGACTCGACTTCAGACACAAGTTTGTTCCGGTACTCGGCGACGTTTTCCCGAAAAATATTGGCCCGGCCGGTGTATAGAGCATCACCAGTGCTGTCATCCGCATAGCAATGAATGTTACCAGTTAGCAACATATCATTGATATGCAGAAGAAACAGCGTTGGTGATAGCACACAGCCTTGTGGAACACCAGCGTTAATAGGCTTGTAGTCAGAACATGCACCGTCTACAACGACCTTGATGCTCCGATCTGCAAGAAAGCTGGTGATCCAATTGCACAATTTCTCGGGAAGCCCATAGGAAGGCAGCTTCGAAAGAAGCGCTTTGTGCCAAACCCGATCAAAGGCCTTCGCAATGTCCAGACTAACGGCCAACGCCTCCCCCTTGGACTCTACTGCCTTCGCCCATCTATGGGTCAGGTAGACCAGAAGATCACCAGCTGATCGACCCCGACGAAAACCGTATTGGCGGTCACTAATCAGCTGGTGATCCTCAAGGTACCGGATGAGCTGGCAGTTAATAATGGATTCCATTATTTTGGAGAACAAGGAGGTGATCGCGATAGGCCTATAGTTGGACGGGTCTGAGCGGTCGCCTTTTTTAGGGATCGGGTGGACAAAAGCTGTCTTCCATGAATTCGGGACTACGCCTTGGGAGTAGGAGTACCGGAAAAGACGCGTTAGGACCGGTGCCAACTCCGGAGCACACGTCCTCAGCACAATTGGGGGGATTCCGTCAGGCCCACTCGACTTCTGGATGTCCAGGGAGAGAAGTGCTTTGCGAACTGAGCGCTGTGAGAATAGCACATCCGGCATGGAGCACTCACACCGCGGGATGGTCGGCGGTATTTTCCCCCCGTCATCAAGAGTCGAGTTGGACGCAAAAAGGGAGCCTAAAAGGTCGGCTTTGTCTTTTGCGTCTTGGGCCAGTGAGTCGTCCTCCCTGTGCAGAGATGGTAGTGATGGCTTACAGAAATTCCCTTGGACAGCCTTGGCGAGAGACCAGAATGCACGGGTTCCCGAAGGAAGGCGAACTAGTTTCTCGCCAATTCTGCCTATGTGCTCTGACTTTGCCTTGGCAATAACTCTTTTGAAGGACCTGGAGGCGAAGTTATACTTCTTTTTAAGTGTGCTGGTGCTTACATCCCGAGTCACCGAAGCCGCAGCCCAGGCTTGATAACACTCCTGCTTACTGCGCAATGCAGTCTTACAGGAGCGACCAAACCAAGGCTGAGATCTGCCTCCGATGGGTACCACAGATGATGGAATAAATAGTTCCATTCCCTGTAGCACCACATCAGTGACAGAGTCAGCAACAGCACTGGGATCATCCGGCGAGAAGCAAACCCGCCCCCATGGGTAGGATGCAAAGAAAGACCGCATTCCGTCCCAATCCGCCGACCTGTAATGCCAAACACGGCGGCAACCTGCAGAACGCAACCGCGAAGGGAGCGTGAGTGGCACCATACTCCGGATCAGACAATGGTCCGAAGAGCCGAGAGGGGCATCGACGGAAACCTGATATCCGTCCGGATGAGAGGTCAGCAGAAGGTCCAACAGGGAAGGTGTATGATCCTCCACATCTGGAATCCGCGTAGGCGAAGTAACCAGTTGTGTCAGACCATATGCCAAGGCAAAGTCATAAACAGATCTCCCCGCATGATCGGTTAAACGTGAACCGAGCCATTCGGCATGGTGGGCGTTAAAATCGCCAAGGATCACGATCTCTGCGGATGGGACCTGTTGTAGCAAGGAATCTGTAGCCATTTGGACGTGGTCGATGAGTCGGTCTGTTTCGGCATTACCGCTATGGGACCTATAGAGGCACCCGTAGACGCGCGGATGGTCGTCGCTGTCTACGCGTAGCCAAAGGATGGACAGGTCCGAACCTTCAAGACTGCCGAGGCGTCGAGAACAGATGTCCTCTCTAACATACACGCAAACTCCAGCCCGAGGCACAAAGGAGTGCTCCAATTTGTACCCCGGGTAGGAGAGATACGAAATATCAGTCGGAGAGGAAACCTGCGTCTCGGTCAAAAAGAGCAAGGCCGGCTTCGCCGTCTCGAGATGGTAGTGGACGGCGTTTAGGTTAGAGTGAAGTCCCCTGATGTTGCAGAAATTCACGGATAGCGTGGCAGGGGTCGCCTTGGTATTGTTGCTCAGCTTGCCCCGAGCAGTTTTGTTTTTGAGCGGAATTTTGCCCCCCCCAGAATACGCGGGGCAGCCTGAGCACCCACGCTCAGGATTGGAATAACATGGTCGTGGATGCTCAGCGAGGGATTCTCCAGGGGTACTGGTACCCTCCTGGGGTAGTCTATTGTCTAATTCCGCTACCATGTTGATGGGGGGGGGGGAATTGGGCCTCCGGCCACCTGCACTCACCAGACGAAACGCAGAAGCAGAGCCTCTACTTCACGCCGGTATTCTGTGAGGTCGTGGTACCAACCCGGCTCGAGCCGGCCCATACGTGCAACAGCAAAAAACTGCTGCAGGGCTCTACCACCGTAATACACCGATACCCGGCCACCACATCCTACTTCGTGCGTTACTTTTTGTTTTTATTATTCCTAGATGTGTGTCGTGTAGTTCTTTTAGCATGTGTTCCCTAAACTTTGACGGAATTACTATTCTATGTCCTCTAAATAAGCACCCTTGTTCGAACTGTAAGTCGGACTTACATTGAAAATAAGGAAGTATTGTTCGACAGCTTATTTTACGTGGCCAACCGTGATTCATGTACCTAATGACTGTTTTAAGAACCGTATCTTGTTGTGTCACTTGTGCAATATCGCGGATTGTCGTCGCCGGTGACGTCTCATTCATAAACTTAACTACGTAGTAAGAGTCTAAATCTAAATCGTGGCAATCCGATGCATTTCTACACGTTAAGGGTGAGCGAGAAAAATAATCTGCAACTACGTTTTTATCGCTCGACACATACTGGACAGTGTAATTATAGGCCGATAATATTATAGCATATCGCTGTAATCTCAGCGCTGTTGTAATAGGTATGCCTGTTTTAGTATCGAAAATAGAAACTAGAGGCCTATGGTCGGTTTTAAGAATAAACGGCTCGCTTCTACCATACAAAAATTGATGAAATTTCTTCACCCCGAATATAATGGCAGTTGCCTCTTTCTGAATTTGGCTGTAGTTACGTTCACTGGTGGTGAGTGAACGAGACGCAAATGCGAGGGGGCGTTCGTGACCGTCGTCCGATCGTTGTGATAGAACGGCGCCTAGGCCCCCGGGTCCGGCGTCCACGCACAGTACGAGTTGTGCTGTGGGCTCGAAGTGCGCTAGCACGCGTTCGGACGCCAGCTCGCGGCGCACTGCCGCCATGCTACGCCTCTGATGCTCGCCCCACTCCCATGGCGTATCGCGACGCAATAGCTCGTGAAGAGGATGGAGTAGTGAAGAAGCATTTGGTATAAAATTCCTATAATAATTGACCATGCCTAAAAATCTCTTAACTTCGGTTACGTTAGTCGGCTCGGGCGCATTAATGATAGCGTGAACTTTTTCCGAGTCAGTCTTTAAGCCGTTTTTATCTATGACATAGCCTAAATATTTTACACTATCCTTAAAGAAATCACACTTGTCTCTCTGTAGTCGCAACCCGGCGTCACTTAACCGACTTAATACTTCTTCTAATCTTTTAATGTGGGAATCACTATTGGGGCCAGTTATACATATATCATCGAGCCATACGCTGACTCCATCTATGCCAGAGAGAAGTGTCTCCATAGCCTTTTGAAAGATTGCAGGTGCATTAGATAAGCCATACACTAATCTTGTATATTTAAATAACCCTTTATGGGTATTTATTGTTGTAAGTAATTGTGATAGCTCATCTAAAACAAATTGATTATAAGCATTCTTAAGATCAATTTTACTGTATCGTTCGCCACCCCCAATTTTAGCAAATACCTCTTCGATTCGAGGTAGGGGGTATCTTTCAATCAAAAGATCTTTATTCAGCGTGACCGAGAAATCTCCTGCTATTTTTATTTTATTGTTTTCCTTCAAAACAGGTACAATAGGCGTGGCATACTCTGATTGGTCAATTGGAACTAAAATACCTAAGGTCACTAAACGGTTCAACTCTTCTTCGACTTTATCCCTAAGGGAAAAGGGTACGGTTCGTGGCTTGAAAAACTTAGGTTTTGCATTTTCCTTTAAACGTAAACGTACTTTAAATTTATTGAACGAACCTAACTCATCCTGCCACAAGTTAGGGAACTTTTGCAATACATTGTTTACATTCTTATCAATACACATAGACATTATGTTAGTTGTTATAATTAAATTAAACGCGGACATAAAATCTCTACCCAGCAGGGGAGGACCCCCATTTTTAACAACATAAATTTTTATTTTGTGTTTAACTTTATTATAACAAGCTTCAACCCAGAAATATCCAAGTGGAGAGATTTTATGCCCATTATACAGACACATTTTTATATTGCTGTTATTCAAATGATAATCGGAAAACTTTTCAGCATACAGTTTTTCAGAAATTACACAGCTGCTCGAGCCTGAATCTAGTTCCATTGTTAAGTTGTGATTGCCCAAAATTAAATTTATTTCAATTGGTTTATCATCAACGTACCTTAAGTTAAAGTTCTGGCATTTTACGCAACCTGTGTCCTTGGCCTCATTAGCGCCGCATTCCTGTTCTGATTGAATGTGATAAGCACACGAGTTATTTTTATTTTTAGCACAAACTTTCTTTAAATGCCCTTTTATACCGCACTTTTGACACTTATAGCTTTTGTACCGGCATTTATCACTGTAATGATTTTTCATACCACAAACTGAACAGGAGCCAGTTTCGCGTCGCGATGTCCTAGCGCCGACACTGTCATTGCCACTGCCGTCACCTCCGCTTCCCCGAGCGAACTGGTGAAATTTTGCACGATACACAGGTTCTTCCTTGATGACCCCAAAATCGCTCGTATTCAGCATCACCTTTACCTCTCTTGCGCAAGCAGCTTGTTCCCCTATTTCAATCGCCTTAGTTAGCGTAAGTGTTGTCGGGTTCTGCTCGAACAGCTTGTCACGTTCCGGGCCAGAGCCCAGGCCTAGGACAAAACGATCTCTCAGATTCGTTTCCAGGGCGTCGCCGAATTCGCAATGGCTTGCTAGTCCTCTTAATCGCGCCGCCCAGTCTCCCAGTGATTCTCCTGGACTTCTAGTCGCTCCGAAAAAGTTGGCCTTATCTACGAAGGAGCACTGCTTTGGTTTGAAATGGCTGTTGAGTATTTGAACTAGCTCGTTGTAAGTTAACGATTCCACCGTGTTAGGGTACGCTAAGTTACGTACTAAGCGGTAGGTTTCATCGGTGAGATGAGTAAGCAGGATACCACTCTTAATTTCTTCTTTTGTCACATTATTTATCCTTAGGAACTGTGTTAATTTCCCATAAACTATTGACCATTCACTTGTTTTGTGATCGAAAACAGGCAAATTACCTAAATACGACATATTTTTTTTTACGCGTAGGTATGTACAAAACTCGTCGCCAGTGAGATGTATAGGACAAAGGAAACGACCGTTTAGTAGCGAGGCTAGTTTATTACTGTCGTGCTGCGCACCCGCAATACATATCACTTCACATCTTCACTCTTAACATAAGCTACTCACTTAAAGCATTAATGAAACTAATCGAACAACACTTCTCCATTATACCCCTTTTTACTATCAACTTACCTACAGTCATGCAAATTTTAATTATCACTACCCCTAGATTATTTTTACATCTGTTTCAATATGGATGAAACGTTGTATACGCTTCAAGAATTAGACAATATTAAAATAGCAAAGGCACTAGAGTGCGATACCGCTGATCTTGAGAGACTCATACAAATTAATAAAAATGACTTTACCATTATATCTCAGAATATTGTTAGTATCTACAAAAATTTTAACGATTTTACTCTTACTTTGGCAAACTTATCTTTTGAAATTGATATTATCACCTTCACGGAATGTAGATTAAACCCCAATAAACATCTCCCACAATTAAACAACTATGAAGTCTATTGTACCTCATCCCAACTAAATCAAAGTGATGGAGTAGTTGTATATATAAAAAAAAGCTTAAAACACAAAGTCAAGGAAGTAATTTTACATCAAGCATCATGTCTACAGATTGATGTATTGAATACTACAGTATTATGTATTTACAGATCACCATCGAACCCAAACACTACAAATTTTATCAATACGCTAAACTCTCATTTAGAGACTCTTTCCTCGCATAGGAGCATTATAATAACAGGTGATATCAATATAAATATTCGACCCAAACCTAATGAACCTCTGCATGAGTATAAAAACAGAATGAACTACTTGGACATGCTTGCTAACCATGGCATATTAGTGGGACATACATTACCTACTAGGCAGCAAGGCTGCCTTGACCATTTCATGTTAAAAATCAATAAAATTAAATACAATTCAACTATAGCGATTTTGCAAACTACAACTACGGATCATTTTACAACATTTCTATCAATCTCAAAAATAAAAAATTTAACTAAAGATAATAGAACTAAAACCACTATAAATTTTGACGCTGCTCAAAAATATTTACAAAATAGTAATCTATCTGATATTTTATTTAGTGACGACCCAACGACTGTCATTAACTACCTAATAGAAAGAATTATAGAAAGCCTAAAGATGAATACTGAGGTGACACGTATATCATGCAACAAAAGAATTATACAGCCGTGGATCTCTCCAGGAGTATTGCGGTGCATACGAAATCGCAACCAACTTCAGAAAAGGCTACGTAATGACCCTCACAATGAAATTCTTTGCATTACTTACCGACGCTACCGAAATTACTGTAACAACTTAATAAAAAGACTAAAAAGAAAATATGACAGGGACACCATTACAAAATCTTTAAATAATAATAAATTGCTTTGGAATAATATTAAAAACATTATATACTCGAAAGGAAAACATAGCACTAGTTCTAAACTGTTTAATTTAAGGTCCTCACCCTCTGAATCGGCTAACTTTATTAATGACTATTTCGCCAATATAGGATTACAACTTGCAAATAACATTCAACACGATACAAGAACATCTAAAACACTTATAGAAAATAAACCGACACAACCAAATTCTTTTGTACTACTGCATACTCATGTTGATGAAGTTCGTAGCACTATCCTCCATCTAAAATCAAACAGCGCCCCAGGATGGGATAATATTCCAAATAAATTTCTAATGTTGGCTGTTGATGACTTGGCTCCCATTATCACCCACCTTGTAAATCTTTGCTTCTACAAAGGTGTGTTTCCTGCACCGTTGAAACAATCAATTATAACACCCGTATACAAGGGTGGGGACGGTGAAGATATTAGCAATTATAGGCCGATCTCGGTTCTGCCAGCAATATCTAAAATCTTAGAGAAACTACTTAATACTAGACTACTAAATTACTTAAATAAATTTAACAAATTATCATCTTCACAATTTGGTTTCAGGCGGGGAAAATCGACAGAAGATGCAATCACGGAGTTAAGCTCTTTTGTAACTAGGCAACTTGACAACAGTAAAAAGTGTCTGTCGGTTTTCCTCGATCTGAAAAAAGCTTTTGATACTGTGTCCATCCCCATCCTTGTGCATAAACTTGAAGATATGGGAGTAAGGGGGACTCCGCTTGCCCTTTTTCAGAGTTACTTAACGGACAGGAGACAAAGAGTAAAACTAAATGGTTGCACTAGTGAAGCTGTTGAAGTGACGTATGGCGTGCCGCAGGGCAGCGTTTTAGGACCTACCCTCTTTCTCATCTACATCAACGACTTATGTAACATGAGGATCTATAACGCCAGAGTTTTGTCATACGCTGATGATACGGCTGTAGTATTTGCCGGTGATTCTTGGGAGGTGGTCAAAACTAGTGCTGAGGCTGGTCTGTTGCGAATCGCTCAGTGGCTGAAACACAACCTCCTGACCCTAAATACTTCTATAACCAACTATATATGTTTTAGTACTAACAACAACTCGCAACCTCAGGCCGACTTCAGTTTAAAAATCCATGAATGTACAACGGATACTAATAAAAACACCTGTAACTGCCCTAGAATCGATAAGGTAGTTCAGACAAAATATCTGGGAGTAATTGTAGACCAAAGACTATCATGGTAGCCACACCTTGATCATGTCATCAATAGAATGAGGAAACTAACTTGGATCTTCAAAACCCTCAGACATGTAATGCTGGGCAAATCGGATGAGGACTCACCAAATTATCTCCTCAATCAAATCTACATTGCTCTTGCTCAATCCGTCTTGGCCTACTGTATTCCTGTCTGGGGTGGTGCAGCAAAAACTCGATTTCTGGAGTTAGAGAGGGCGCAGCGTTCTCTTATTAAAGTTATGTACTTTAAGAAGAGACGCTTTTCTACCGATTTTCTATTTCGTATCAGCGGTTTACTCTCTGTCAGGAAGTTGTATATATTCTGGACAACCCTCAAAACTCACAAATCATTGTCTTATGATCCATGCCATTTAAATAAACGACGTAGAAACATGGTTGCCCAGACATACAGAACTAAAACCACATTTGCGAGCAGACAATTTATATCACGTTCTGCCTTTCTTTATAATAAAATAAACAAAGATATTTATATATACGACAAAACATATCACAACTGTAAAAAACTTTTGTTAGAATGGATTCATCATAAGACATATGACGAAATTGAGAATTTGGATTTTTGGAAACATGATTTGTTCAGATTCAGACACTGTAATCACACATACTCTTTTTAACTCACGCAAGCATAGACACAAACACACACACACCCACACACACACACACACACACACACACACACACACACACACACACACACACACACACACACACACACACACACACACACACACACACAGAGAGACACACACATACATACATAAGTAATATAATTAATATAGAATTCAAGTAATATATAACATTAATATGGATATAGAATATGTTTATCCATACTGCCTTGTAACATGGATATAGTAATGGAAGGGCGGACCCTCCAAACACAGGCATTATTTGCTTAAATGGAGGTTCCAATCTACTAGTTTTTAAGGCATTTACTTTTTAAAAACGAAATAAAATTTATTTATTTATTTATTTATTATTTATTATTATCCCAATACCAAGTTATATGCAGTATCCAAAGTGTTAACGGTTCAAAAACTTAACATTTTAACAATAATCTTAAAAAAAGTTGTTGTATCGATTTATTGGCTAATAAAAGGAAATCTGGTACGAGAAGAAATTATGAAGTTTTTAAATTTTTGAGATATCCGATTGAATAAAAAAGCAAACTAGTTACACCACATCGTTAATCTAATTTTAGTCAGTTTTTTATCATTACAAAAACGTATTTGTATGTAAGGTAACATGTTTAAGTGAAGGTAATAATGTCATTTAAAGAAAAAAAATCGCATACTGATCAACACAGAACTTTCTGAGTCATAACTCACTTATTTATCTTGAATATCAATCAAATCTCATAAATTAACCTCACTAAATAAAAAAATTCTTATCGTCGATGAAGCCATACAAGGCCGTATCTGGCTTAACGGCTTTGGCACAGATTTACTGAGATTATCCATTCAGGATTCTAATGAAAAGTAATATCCTGGAATGTTGAACTAGATACTTGTAGGGGTACACATGACTCCGAAAGCGATTCTCTTCCTTGTTTGTTTGATTACATTGGAAAATATTTATATCTGTTAACTTATGCAATTTATTTTCAACCGAATTCAAATAAAAGAGGAGATTCTGAATTCGTCGGATTATTTATTGTGTAGGTTCAGCGATAATTCTTTACCCGTGTTCCAATTTCAATGATTCTGTTTTGTTACAAAAAAGATCAGATTCAAGAGAAAATCTTCATATTCTTCAATTTCAGAGACATCTAAGTGACTTATGAACAAACGATTTTTAACCACGTAAATTGATTTAAATGGTTGTATTCCTTTTAGTTATTTGAAGTCAGCTTTAAATTTTTAAAATTTTTATTATTTTAAGACCTACCTATTTAATAGAATTTTATAACATTGTATAAATACTCTACAATATTTCATGCTCACGGAATTTATAAAATTAAACATTGATTTTATAATAGCTTGTACCCGGCGCTTTACTGCTGCAAGAAAAATATTTGTGGAAATATCGCTTTAAATTTGGAAGTGTTATATTGTTTAGATAAGAATGATATTACTTTCATTGAAATAGAATTATATATAACTTTCAAATAAATTTATCGGTACGATACAGGCGCCACTAACTGTAAGTAAATTGTTCTATGCCTACGGCGGCACTGAAAATTTCGGAAATCAAGGAAGTGACACAACATTACTATTTAAAAATGTATTTATTGCTTTTCGAAGTATTCTCTGCGAAATTTGACACTTTTTTCCATACGATGGAACCAATCATTGAAGCAACCATTCCA